TCTGGGGGGAAAACCATGCGAGGTTCTTTGAAAATTTGTCTCTAAATTTTGTTTAAAAAAAAACCTGTGAACCCCAAGGAAAATTGCCATAAATTGGTATTCAGTCAACAAAGTGCTATTTGTGGGTATGGAGTGTTTACCCATGATTGTTAAAGGAAAGAGAAAAAGCAGCAGAAATGACTAGAAAATTGCTGATGTTCCTAGATATATTTTTTGTTTTGGTTGTTGTGGGTTTTTTGGGCTCTTTGGTCTTGTTCTGAAGGTTGTTCTTCAGAACATGGCCAAAGAGCCCGAAAAACCCACAACAACCATTAGATCCCGGCCATAAAAGCCTTCGCAAATACATTTTTTGTTTTGTTTTTTAAATTACAATAATTGTACAGGGATATAGTTTCAGTTTTCCAGGTCAGCACTGACTTAGAAGCAGGAGGACCACACATTGGATGATGTATGCACAGATAAGGAACAACAAGCAGTTCTGCAGCCTGTGTACCTGTGTTGACAGTAACAGAACACAGCCATCTCTCACAAAACAATGCCCTCCAGATGTGCCAGATGATACTTCTCATCCTCCCCACCCAATATAGGCAGCCATGGTGATTGGGAATGTTGGGAATTATGATCCAATTTATGTGGAGGACATCAAGATGAAGAAAGTTTGCATGATAGAGATTCTGAGATGTCTTGGGAAAAGTAAGAGACAAATTTAACAAGAAGCAGAATCCTTAACTAATGGGAAACAATTAATAATCTTAAGAGCAAGAGGTTCTTTAACTTCTGGGATTATGTAAATTAGCTTGATTTGTCTTCAAAATTTAATTTTAGGATTCCTTTGAGGTCTAGTTCTCAAACATAAAGGACTGTCTCAGTCACCTGTCTTGTAAAAAAAATTTCAGTGTTTCTCCCAATTAAAATGTGAGAATATAAACATGTTTAATAAAAAAAATAAGACACCAGAATTATGGGATAATTCGTTATTCAGGAGTTGATGGTTTTCTGTTGAACGGAAAAGCCATGGGGGTGAAGGGAAAAAAATAGCAGTAGTAAAATATGTATAAGAAAGCAAAATTTAATAAAAATGCTAAGTGCACCAGAATTCTCTCATGCTAGATAACACACAAGCATTTTTTTTTAAAATCGCACATGGAATGAAAAATCCAGGAATTAAAATCCTTCACGTACATACACAAGGAAAGCTGAACATATGTCAAGCTGATGGATGTTAATCAGCAGCAAAATATCTAAAAGCAGAAAAGTGAACATATTTCAGTCTTGTGGATCTTAGTCAGCAATAATGAATTCTCCCATAATTCTGGTGTAGTTTGTACTAAATGCTTTTATATAAAATAATATCTGTATAATTAATTTCAATTCTTTTCCCTCCCCACTTCTATTTGATTTTTATTTTTCTCTTTTCTTTGGAGGAGGGGCTTGTTTTGCTATTATCTTTTTGAGTAAGGTAATTTCCATTGTTTTATACCCTGACATTTTATACTAGTATCTCGAAGTGATGACCTAATAAGAATATGATAAGAATATAGAAGACATTACAGTAGTCCAATCCTATGCCTGTTTACTTAGTGATAAACCTCATTTGCATTGAATGGAGCTTAATCCTAAGTATGTCTGGAACTGCAGCCTTAAAGTATGATAATTGGTCCAGTTTCCCATAAAAAGCCACCCAGGTTGAATGGAAATTGTCTGCCTTCAGTGAATTCTTTTTGTTTAGTGTGTTATTTGATTTTTTTTTTACCAGCTTGTAAATATGCTCAGTTTTATTTGGCCATTTAAAAACCGATGGAACCTTATCAGATTTTTAACTGCTAGCAACCAGAAACTTTAATTTAGCCCAGTTGGTCAATAGTTTTATTTCTTAGTGAATCTTTCCACATAAGCATCTAAGATCCCTTCTGGGTTTAATGCAGTTGTATACTTTGTCCACTCTTACGGAGTATGTCTTGGGACATTTCCATCAAATACGAGCAACATCAGCCTTATTGCTGCTGTTACCACCACCACTGCATAATTTTATGTTCCTTCAACTGTATCTTGCTTGATATTCTGGTGTATGAGATATCACTAATCCTTAACGATAATACGAGAAGAAGCTTCTTGTATTGATGTGAAGATATTTTCTACTCTTATTTTATATTCTGAGTATTGGTTCCCCCAAGGTTTGCCTGGTCAAACTCTGATTTGTTTTTACAATGTTCATTCTTGTACCAGATAACCATATTTTTCTACAGTTTTAATAGTATGACTATTGTATCTTTTGTTATTCCAAAAAAAAGGAGAAGTTACATGTCTGACACAAGTATTTTAAACTTCATCAGAAGATGGGGACTTCCATACTGGTATCCTCTGAAGGTTTTTATTTTTCAACCTGGAAAGGAATCTCTTCCAATCCCCAAAACCCCCCATTGTAAATATTCCAAAGGATCTTTGCTTCATACCTCTTCTGTCCTTAGCCTGTAATTTGACCTGATTGATGCAAACCAGTCAAACTGATTATGGAATAGCTGTTGTGCAGAGCAGAGCAATATGACAAGTTTTAATTCACCCTATTTTATATTTATTGTAATGTTTTGTTCGGCCCTATTGCAAGCTTATAAATATCCGTAAGAAACACTGAAGATTTTTTTTCTGGGCTGCCAAACATTTTACCCTGCAATCAGGGAATATTACAAAGAGGGATCATTTTCTGAGCAATATATTCATCTTTAAGAAAAGAGTTTGTTCATACAGATATGCCTAAGATATGATATTTTCTCCACATGAAGTCAATCCTGTAGTCCTGCAGAGGGCAAACCAAGGAGCAGATACCATGGCACATACAAGCAAAAGATTGGGTATATGTATTTAACATGGGGGGGATCCTGGTTTCAGTAGAACTATGTATTTATATTTGAGCAAGGCCACTAGACTTCTGCATGCTGCCTTCTTTGGCCAGATCCTGCCATTCCTGCTTCTCTGGCAGGCGATCCTGTCGGTGCTAACTCTCTGCTCCTCCTCTCCTCAGGCTTTTGAGCTGAACCAGTCCATGCAGCAGGGAGGACGGGGAAGTAGAGCAGTTGACTCCTCCCTCCACCCGTCTCCAGTGGAACGCAAGGTGGGAATTGCGCTCTGCCTTGCCATGCCATGCCCTTCCCCAAGGATACAGCTGGCTCTTTCTCCAGCCTGCCCGAGCCTGGGCTCTCTAACCCTCATTTTCAACTGGCATGCACCTAACAACTAACTAATGGGGGTGGGGGAGGGGGCCAGTTCCTGTTGGAAAAGGACTGGCTTCTAAATTCACACACACCTCCCTGGTCTGTCAATGAGCGCGTTTCCTATACAGCCTCTTCCCTTGCGTCTCCTTTTTTGGAACTAACTCCTCCTTCCCCAGGCTCACATGAGACTTGTGCAAAAGAGAGAATATGCCCAGGATTTGCGACCTTCCCATACAGGACAGAAATTTGAAATTTGGCCAAATGCTTGAACCATCTGCGTAACAGGTCTGCATGAATAATGATATGTGTGGGGTGATGAAGTTGGTGATGAAAACGGGAATCAGGAGGGCTTGTTGCTGGAAGAGTGTGGATTATTCCATAGAATTTCTAACATTTGCTGTGAAATATGGGCTAGTGAAGTGGAAAAAACACATATGTATAAAATGTAATATGTTGTCCTCTTACTGATTATCATTAATCAGAACCATCCTCTTCCTTTTCATTCTGATTTTGTTGCTGTCATTGAGTCAATTAAGGCTTGCTAACAGAGAGTAAGGTCTTAAACTAATATCTATTAGGAGGATTGATATCATTTGTGCTACTGTCACATTTGCTATGCTACTATGGATCAAAACCTGGGCTGAAAAGGAATTGTTTCAGCTGTCCTGCACAGAAAGTTTCCTCTGCCTGAGAATCCAACACAGAGTTGCTTTCATGATGTATAGATGACATGAAGGATGCGTTTCCCCAGTTACAGAGTTGTTCTGAATAATGAAGTCATTCAAGAGGTATTGTTCCTAATAGGTTTCCTATAGGTTTTGTATAAGTTCAGAGCAGTCGTCTGAGCAGTCGTCTCCCATGTGTCCTTGAGATGACGCACCAAACAGGGGACTAGGCCATGTTAAATGATGCACTCTTCTTGAAGACAAAGGAACTCCTAGGCAGAAATACTGGAAATTACCTCGTCTGCAATCAAACAGTAAGAGGAACTGAAATTGAAAACTAAATCCTGAGAATCTCAAGTCTTATTAATGTTTTGGTATTGCTTTGGGTTTTGTTTTGGTATGGTTTTTAAGCAAAACACTTTGGGGCTGTGTAGCTTGCACAAATCCACATAGGTTGACTTTACATTTTCTTTGATATGTTAGATTTCACAAAGAGCACTTGCACTGCTTGTGGATGGTGCAGCTTCCATCTCCTGCGCCCAGCTTCTGTCCAATCCTCTGTTCCTGTGACACAAGGGGATGCTTCCCCACTCAGAACAAAAGATCTTAAATCAAATGGATCACTTAGCAGGTTGTATCTACTGGCTCCAAGCTTTACTGGAACTAAAATTCTGTGTGTGCCAACAGTCTCACTTAAAAATCCAGATTCCAATACCTGCATATCATTTTCAGGACATCCATCCTACTGAATTGTCCTTGATAATGCTATTTATGTAGTCACTGGCTGTGCAGTGCATTTTAACAGGCTGACAGCCACATCAGGAGCAATCCCACTCCATTCAACCTCATGGGTGTCATCAACATGTGTTTGACACATGTTAGAAAGAGGAAGCCAGCCTTCAGTGGTATCCTGCTATTGTAGACCTCCCAAACTGTTAGCCCAGCAGGATGCAGAGGGAAGTGAAGTGCATCAGAGGTTGGGGACTTGCAAAAAGACAGAGGTGCAGCAAATAGAGCATGTCACATCCTGTTTGCTGTTTTGAGGTCTTCAAGCCTGCTTTCCCGTCACATTCCCAAAGAGATCTCTTCTCTTTGCTTGTCTACCAGTGGAGAGAGCCAACCAAAAAGGCCATTTGTGTCATTTGGTTTAGTACAGTGGTTCCCAGCCTTGGGTCACCCATATGTTCTTGGACTGCAACTCCTGGAAACCCTGGCCAGCACATCTGGTGATCAAGGTTTCTGGAAATTGATGCCCCCCCCCAAAAAAAATTACTTGGAGCACCCAATGTTGAGAATCACTGGTTCGGTATACGACAGTTTTTGCAAACAGTGCTGTACTTAAATTGCAAAAAGCTCTTTTATCCCAACCATGACAGTCATGCATTCATTTGTGCACTATTCAAGGAACAAGGTTTGCACTCATAATCAGGTGATGGACTTTCATGGAGAGATGTTTCTCCCTGAATGAAAGGACCACTAGCATAGCATACTCCTTCAAGTTATTCTTACCATGCTATATAGGACGTGGTGGGGCTGCGGGCTAAACTGCAGAAGCCTTTGTGTGCTGCAGGGTCAGAAGACCAGCAGTCGTAAGATTGAATCCACGCAATGGAGTGAGCTCCCGTCGCTTTGTCCCAGCTCCTCGCCAACCTAGCAGTTCAAAAGCATGTCAATGCGAGTAGATAAATAGGTACCACCTCGGTGGGAAGGTAACAGTGTTCTCTGACACACAGTAGTACCCTGTCAGACACCCAGACTCCCACAACAGCTTCTTCTCCCCAGCTGCTGCTTCGTCCCAACCCAGTGTCTCACAGTCTGTCTCAGCATCTACTCTTCACCACACAGGCATCACATATTTATACAGTACAGCCCCTCCTCCTGATGTCCCGCCTTCCACTCCCCATAGGATGGAACTTTCCCTCCAAACCCATGACAGACAGGTAACATCAGTGCTGTTATGTAACAGTGGCGCTGTGGGCTAAACCGCAGAAGCCTTTGTGTGCTGCAGGGTCAGAAGACCAGCAGTCGTAAGATTGAATCCACGCAATGGAGTGAGCTCCCGTCTCTTTGTCCCAGCTCCTCGCCAACCTAGCAGTTCAAAAGCATGTCAATGCGAGTAGATAAATAGGTACCACCTCGGTGGGAAGGTAACAGTGTTCCGTGTCTAAGTCGCACTGGCCATGTGACCATGGAAGACTGTCTTCAGACAAAACGCTGGCTCTATGGCTTGGAGACAGGGATGAGCACTGCCCCCTAGAGTCGAACATGACTGACTAAAATGTCAAGGGGAACCTTTACCTTTTACCATGCTATATACCTTAGCAAAACCACCATAAGTTATGAATCAGAGCTGGTGATGGAGATGAACTTTTCTGGACTTAGGCCCTGATGGGAGCTTAGAAGTCTCAGAAAAGAGAGAGGCTTTGTGAGGCTCACTGTTTTTCAAGGCTGGATTTTCCAGAACCTAGAAGCAGCCCAGTTGCAAAAGCTCTCTCCAGTATTTCTTGCACTTGTATTAACATATGTGTATTTTACATATGTGTATCTATGTAGATATATTGTTTTTATGTGTCATCATCAGATCACTTCCAGCTTATGATGACTCTATAAATTAGTGACTTCCAAAAGGTCTTCTCATTCACAGCCCTGCCCAGGTCATGCAGAACTCAAGGCTGTAGCTTCCTTTATTGAATCAGTGAATCCAAACTCATATTTGGTCTTCCCCTTTCCTGCTTTCTTCAACTTTCCTAAACATTATTATCTTTTCCGGTACGTCTTGTCTTCTCATGATATGCTCAAAGTCTGATGGCTTCCGTTAAGCCATTTTTAATTTATTTATTGCTTTTAGACAAGAGTCCAGGCTTGATTTGATCTAGTGTCCACTTGTTTGTCTCTATCTGAGCACGCTGAAGAAACAAGACTTAGAGAAGATAAGAGAGGAGGGATGCAATCCATCTTGAATAATGACTTATTTCTGAGTTTAGTCCCATCTCTCCTTCCATCTTGTTGCCTCATCCCAATTCTAAAGTGCCTTATGCCATTCGTACTGACTCAGCCCTTTCCACTGGAAGTAGATGACTTCAGCAAATTCTCAGGTGAAAGGTGGACTGCAGAAGGGGGTTTATTTTGTCCTGTCCAATCCATCTTTTAGACAGTGTTAGTGCTGTACAAAGCCCAGTGGCATGAATGCTATCAAAAGGATGAGCTCCATAATTGTTTGAGTTAATAATATTTGAACTATATGCCTCACTCTTTTGTCTTCTCAATTCTTGTCCATTCTTACAATACAAAGCCCATACGCTACTCTGTTTCTCATTATCGGAACAGAAAAAAGCTTAGGTCCATTTCCATGGAAATTGTGTGTTAATAAATAGCCACAATCCCAGCTCAGTTTCTGTACAACAGCTGTTTGGACCCTGTGGAACAAAGGAAGAGGCTTAGAAATTTTACCCATACACAGACACACACACAACACACATGTCAGGCTAGTCATATGTTTTAATTGTAGTTTTCATTAATTTTATTTTCAAAGGACCCTAAGGAAATTTTGTGTCAAAATATTTTGGGATGGAAATATTTTAGCCTGTCACATGTAATTCCTCCTAAGAAGTGACAGATATAAAGGAAAAAAATATGTACATCTCATTTATTTTAATGATAGGGTCCTGTTTGTGCTTAAATCTCTCTAATTCAAATCAGCTGAGGATTAAAAGTTCTTATTTCTGGCTCAATTGTGCTCAATGTCAATACTAAGCCACCGAAGAACAAATTGCCTCCAGATTTTTCTCACAGCACTTGTCCTTAATTTCCAAAGGGTTTCCAACCAGTGACTCTGAAACATTTCATGAAAACAAGCCGCTCATGTCTTCCCTAAAGGCTGATTCTACCATCCTGGCCTCCCTTTTTTCCCTCCATGCTACTTCTGCCTCTGACATCTATAAACATTCCCAGCATCTTAGCAGCCCCTTCAGGAGACCGGAGGAGGGTCTTACAATCCTACGTGGGACTAATTGAAGCAATTGGTCATTACTGTGGCAATGCAAACAGTTGGATATTCACCCACTGATGTTAAAAATGTGCACTTTGTCCACTCTGTTGTGGATCATGTGCCTTTGCTGAGCTTCCGAAAGAACCAGGAGAGATCTGTGGCTGCTTCCTTTTTCATAATGCAGAAAAGATGTGGCTTGTTGTCATTAGATATCTAAAGACTATCTGAAGTTCCCTGAAATACTTCAGGAGATAGATATGACTCATACCATGTTCATATAGTTACTTCCTTTTCACAGATCCTTATTGCACATCAACTCCGATTCACGCTCTGTCAAAAATTCTGCAGCTTTTCTATACTTCCATATGTTGCTACGTATCACCTAGTAATAATAATAACGTGGTAGCTAAACACTTACCTGCAGCATTCACACCTTGCAAAACACAGTTCTTTCTCTCCGCCCAATGCCTATACTTGTCGATTTCTAAAAAGATCTGTAAATCGTTAACATTCTAGAGAAAACTGGCTTCCATGACAATGTCCCTGAATTTTCCAGTTTCCATGAGATGAGCTCTAGAAGTATCTTCTGTGCTCAAGCTCTTGATCTATGTTTTCTATGCATAGTTTTCAGAATAACACCATGCAGATGAAGACTGCTGAAAATGGTGTGTTAATTTCCACAACTGAGTTTTGCTGTTCCCCTAAGAAGTGTATTCAAGCCAAGAAAAGTTACTTTCGACAGTCTAAATATGATAGAGGGACGTTTTGGAGCTTGTGCTATATTTATAGTGCTAGGGTTCCTGTCGCTGAATTGGGATATTTCAGAATAACACCATGCAGATGAAGACTGCTGAAAATGGTGTGTTAATTTCCACAACTGAGTTTTGCTGTTCCCCTAAGAAGTGTATTCAAGCCAAGAAAAGTTACTTTCGACAGTCTAAATATGATAGAGGGACGTTTTGGAGCTTGTGCTATATTTATAGTGCTAGGGTTCCTGTCGCTGGATTGGGATATTAATGCAGTGGTTATTCCGAAAGCAAAGCTGCTGTGGTATTTCTAAGAAATGAGAAGAGTTTTCTCGATTCAGAGCATGTTACTATAGTCTCTCGAGACAAGGGTGCCTATGATTCCGAAAGCAAAGATCCTGTGGTATTTCTAAGAAATGAGAAAAGTTTGTCTTTTGGACCACAACTCCCAGAAGACCCCAGGCAGCATGGCCAGAGAGGTATTCTCGGAGTTACTATTCAGAAAAGTAACTTTCCCTATCCCTCTTAGGACTGACTAAAAACTCTTAAGATTGTGATACGAACAGCACTTTGTTAGCTAGCAGGGATGTAGGTATGTCATTGGGTCTGAGTCTCAAGTCTCAAGTTCTTGATACCATGCCTCCAGTCCAAGTCTTTGGTCCCAAGTCCCAAGTCCAAGTTCCTAAGGGAGGGGTGGGTGGGTTCCAAGTTGCAAGTCCAATCCGAGTCACTGGAAAAAAAACACCTTGAGTTGAGTCACTGGTACGACTTAAGACCAACTTGACTATTCAGAAAAGTAACTTTCCCTATCCCTCTTAGGACTGACTAAAAACTCTTAAGATTATGATGTGAACAGCACTGTGGTAGCTAGCAGGGATGTTGGTTGTCTTTGGATCCAAGTCTCAAGTCTCAAGTTCTTGATACCATGCCTCCAGTCTAAGTCTTTGGTGCCAAGTCCCAAGTCCAAGTCCCTATTAAAAGCAAGTTTTTTGCCTCAGAAGAAAGGGAGGAATGGGTGGGTTCTGAGTTCAAGTCCAGTCCAAGTCACTGGAAAAAAAAACACCTTGAGTCAAGTCAGTGGTACGACTTAAGACCGACTTGATACAGTGGGGTCTTGACTTAAGAATGGCTCGAGTTAAGAACATTTTGACTTAAGAACCACTCTCATAGGAAAATATTGACTTGACTTACATACTTAGATTTGAGTTAAGAACTGAAAAAAAACCACGTGGGAGACAGGGAAAGTGCAAAATTTGAACTTTCAGTTAACTGTTGGCCAGTGAAAAGCGTGCCTGTCTGCTTCCTCACTCCTCCCAGCGTTTAGAGAGTGGATTGGGAGACAGTCTTCGGACTGCCTGGTACTGTCCTGCCTGGACTGTATTTTCCCTGCCTTCCCTGAACCTTTCTTGACCTAAGAAAAAAAGAAACAAAATATCCCCCTCTAGTGGTTGGAGGCGGAATAGCAGCTTCCCATTAGTTTCTATGGACGGAAAAGAGCAGATACGGATCAAATGGTTCTCAATGCATTCCTATGAGAAATGCAGATTTGACCTGAGAACTTTTTGACTTGAGAACCGCCTTCCAATACGGATTAAGTTCTCAAGTCAAGACCCCACTGTAGTGAGTCATACGACTCAAGTCCCTATTCCTGGTATCTAGAGTGGCACATAAGTATCAAAGAGAAGTCTGTCAGTTCCCAATTTAAGTAACATGTTAACAACATCAGCCCTGGCGTTTCTTCTTCCTGTTGGATCATCTGGTCCAGTGCTCTTGCTGTAGCCACTACATGGAGACTGCTTTAAAAATGATCTCCTTGGTGGCGTGGCAGTTTGCCTTCATGAAGTGAGCTACTTGCCCTTCTCTGGAGAGTGGTTTCATAAACTTCACCATGCAGCCTCAGGAAGAAAGAATGCAGATGTAAAATTCTATAGTGGAATGGGGGTAAATAAATTAATTTGCATTCATTTTTCAGGGCAATGGCAATGTTAAGTCTGTTGCAAAAAGAGAGAAGAAGAATCAGTGACTCTTGTGGCACCCTAAAACCCACATAAATGTCCACACTTATTTATGCACTGTAGCCAGTCCATAGTAGCTAATGCCCTGTATCTGCTTCTTCAGCTGCATCTGCAGCATAAGGCTATGGAACACAAATGTTTTTTGTTAAATGAAGTTTTAATTGTGGTACAGGACTCCCAGTTGACTTTTCTCTACTTTTGTTTCCTCGAAAATAAGACCTAACCTGAAAATAAGACCTAGTTAAGTGAAACCCCGCCCTCCACCCTTGTGCAGCAACCAGAAGAAGATGACATGATCGTAAAATAAAACATCCCCTGAAAAATAAGCCCTAATGTGTTTTTGGAGCAAAAACTAATATAAGACCCTGTCTTATTTTCGGGGAAACATGGTACATGGTGAGCACATGATTTTTAGTGACTCAAGGTCAAATTAGAAGTTACAGATAAGACTGTTGTTAGAAGCTGAAATCCATCAGTATTTCAGAGACATGATATGGGTAGAACTTTGTGTCTCAGTTATTGTACTTGCAAATGAAACCTCTGATTACTTCATAATGATTTCAAATTTCAAAAGTCTACAAACTAACAGGCAAACTATGGGAGGTGTGAAAAGCTTATGCTGGAAGAATCAAGCTTCTTCCAGTGTAAGTTATTTCCTCTTCTAATGATAGCTTTAATGCACATTCAACCCTCAGCCACCTGAGAAAATGGTTTAAAGCAGCTTCCATAGGACAATCATACTGGATGTCAGGTTTTTCTTATATTTTGCAGTTTGGATTTTTGGGGGCGAAAAGTTCCACTCCAGTAAAGGTGCATTTTGATTGTGTAATTCATGCATGCCATCTCTTGTATCCTGTGTGCTTTTAGATGCCCTCTATTTCAAAGAAACTGTGAAGGCCAAAGATAAAGGTATGTAATAACACAGATCACTTATCTCCCTGTTGCTTTCCATTGCAGGATTACATATTTTACCTGGAACCAGAGAGGCTAGAGTCAGGAAAAGGGAAATGTTCGTATGACCCCAAGGTGGACACTGTATCGGCATTAATCAGTGAGTTCCAATAATTAGATTTTTAATTTTAAATTAAATTAAAAGCAAAAGGTTAATATTTTGCTTTTGTGTGATATCAACTTCCTCCCCCCAACACAAAAAAGTGAAGAGTCCTGGAGCACTTCAGATTTGTCTAAAGATACCCAAGATATTGCCCCTTCTCCCAGTAGGCTCTGACACATTACCAGAACATCACCCTGGGTTTCTTATAAATAATATGCAAGGGAAAAGCAACTCTATGCCCAGAACAAAAAAATGTTTTAAGGTTTCCTCAAAGAAGTCTGAGTGCTGGAAATTTGCCACGGGGAGTGAGAAAGGAAGAGTGGGAGGGAAGAAGGATACAGAAATATATGAATGCATGTACTGATTCATATTGTTAATGTTGTAAAACATAAATAAGTAAACAAATAAATTAGGCAAAAAAAGGGGGGGAAGCGGGGGTAGGAAATCCCAGCTTAGTTATTGAGAAATGCTCATGTCCTCTCAGAGACTGATAACTGAGAGAAAGAACTTCCTGCCAAAATGACACCACTAGTGGGAAAGGAGGGGCACCTTGGCTCATAACTAAGATCTGAAACACTCTATGGCAAAACTCCACTGGTGAAATTTTTGTCACTTCCCTAATGTCCACTGGTTTCCACTTTACCACTCAAACTTGATGCCTTCTCCTCCTGCCTTTGCATTTCAGAAGCAAACTGCTGCTGACTAACTCACCTCCTATACAAGGCACAGAATTAAGGCAAATTTTATGCATCTCCCTCTCCTATTTCCCTTAATGGGAGGAGCTGAGTATAATTTTAGAATACACAGGAAACGTTCACTTAGAAAAACTTGCCCTTGGGAAACCTGATCATGCTAGAGTTACCACTGTCACCTGAATCCCTGACCGTCCCAGATGAGGTAGAGCCACTAAATTGGTGAGTTTTTCCACAAGTGTTCCCTTGCCATTCTGCAGTTGATTCACTTGGTCTGCTCAATGGTGGACTAACAGGTGAATTTAGACTGGCTTCTGCCCACCCGCTACTTCTTTAATTCTGTTATCTTTATCCTCTGATGACCACACACAGAATTTTTTGTGTGTTCTTCCATTTCCCAGTCTTCCCCACAGATTGATTCCAAACACGGGCCTTCTCTGAACAACGTTGAGAGTGGTCTCACCATATCATGGAAGCTCCCCTCTTCTCTAGTCCATTGGTAGATGAGGTTCCAGAGGACTTTCTCCTAGAAGGATGGCTGAGGTTACACATGCTCACAGCAGGAAGATAATTAGCAGTGGTATCTTTATCCTGTTGACCCTGGGCCTTCCACTGGCACAACAGCTGCACCACGCTCCCTCCCAGAGTCAGCTCCAAGACTAGGCAACGTTCTTACTTCCTGCAAATCCCCCAGCCCCTCAGTATGGCCCGACTGCCTCTGATCTTGCCCAGGCATAGGTATCCATTTACATGACAAGCCCAAAACTTCTTAATTAATCTGACAGCAGCTGCAGCCCAGGCCTGGGAAAGGCAAGCGTTGTGCCCCTGTGCCAGTGGGTTCCTGGCTGAGTGTTGCATCTGAGGAACAGCAGTGTTAATTAACTCAGCTTCAATTCTGTCTAAAGCCCTATTAATTCCTCTGTGAGAGGTTCAAAACAGCGGAAGGGAAGTCATTTTTGCATTATCTAGCCACCATCCAAGGACAGCTGGCACAGGTTGAAAGCTTAGCTTCATACTCACTATTAGGTATGAATGCTGTACAAAAAGCTGAAAGGTTCCTAGCTGTAAATCAACATGAGCTTTGAAATATATGAATTTCTTTGTGACAAATAGCAGATTGGACAATATTTGAGTGGACCAGGGAGCTCGAAGGCTGCAGGTCCCTCACACAGCACTCTTTCTGTCTCCCTGTCTTGCATGTATACAGAAATTAAAAGACTCTTCGTGAACTTATGAATCTCTGTAAATCACAGTGGATTAGGTGTTAGATGAAATGTGTGTGATCACATAAAATGCAGAAGAAATGGGTTTTCCAAATACATGACTATGTGGACAACTGAGTTGCGTTCAAACTGTAGTGCTAGAGTGGGATTTTAAGCTTCCCCTTGCACCTGATTTCAATATACGTGGATATATAGCACTCTGTGATGCTCAACATTGTACTTTGAAAGCACTGTTTTCCCATTTTAGGGCTATACCTTTTCACCTTGAGCAGTCTTGGTCAGAATGTGGAATGGTATCTTTCAGAGACGGCAACTCCCAGAATCCCCCAGCCAGCAAAACCACAAAGTGTCTGGGGATTCTGGGAGGTTTACCATCCAAGAAGTTTATTTCTCAAAGCTCCGTCCTGCCTACTTATCCCCCAAGAGGGATGCAGGCAGGAGAAAAGAAGACATTTGACTTGCCCTTCCAGGTTCTGCCTTGTCCGTGTCATGCCAAAAGTGCCCCTGAGAATGTTCCCTTGCTTGTGTAGGTGCTGTGGAAGCAGCACCCATCTCCAAAGTGCCCCCAAAGAGGAATGGAAGGAATATACTCTCCTAGGTGCCTCTGCGCCTTTCTTCCTGAAAGCGCTCTGAGCAAGACTAATGGCAAGGGTGGGTGGATAAGAGTCCCAGGGAACATGGCTCTCCCGTTTCATTGCCAGCTCATCAGATAATGCTTCAGCATTTGTAATTCTCTCAGGCTCTCCCGTTTCATTGCCAGCTCATCAGCAGCATTTGTAATTCTCTCGTTTGTCCTCTTTTCTGATCTCTGGCCTGCCTTGTTCACAGATGAAGAACTCTATGCTGGGGTCTACATTGACTTCATGGGCACTGATGCAGCCATCTTCCGTACCATGGGCAAGCAGACCGCCATGAGGACTGACCAGTACAACTCTCGCTGGCTAAATGGTGAGTGACGAGGAAAGCCCTGCAGAGGTTGACACGTAGAGGACCAAAGGCAGGACTATGTTGATAATGTTTGGTGGTCATCCCACACAGTGAGAAGGACCACTGGATGCATGACTTGGCTTTCTGAGAATTTCACATTTCATTTTTCTTCCTTCTTCTAAAGAAGCAGCAGGGTCTCTCAATGTTAGCTGGTGAGTTACCTCCTTAGCATACCCTTGGAAGGAGGGAAACCTCTGCTGAGAGATGGAATAAAAAGCATATATTAAAAAGACACAGCACCAAGAAAAGCACTGAGCAACTAACTCCCTCTTGCTTTCGAGGCTGTCCTGTGAAGGGAGACTGCTCCCCTGCGACTTTTTTAGGGCTGGCTTCCTGACAAGTTGGAGTACCTTGCCAATTCATGTGTACAGTCTGGGATTGTTTTCTTTTGCCTGTCCATGTACAGACATTCCAAACAGCCTAGTTGGGATAGTGGAATCTTTATATCTTCTAGTTGCCATTACTCTTCCTTACTGGCCTTCTTTGTTGCTGCCACCTCCTCTGCTACAGCGCCGCTGCGCCAATTCCATGTTGCATGACTCCTGTGTGCAGTCCTGCGGCAGACCCTTTTCTCCTTTGTCCACGAGGCTCCTTCAATACATCTTGCCCGAAAGGTTGTCCCTTCCATTGCCTATACTCTCTGTCTCACTTTCATGAAATCAGGCACGTTTTCAGCATCGGTTGGTCTACAGTGCTCCGTTTATCATTCTAGGAGGAACACATGGCTCATTGTAGGAAGAGCACAGAATCTGCAAATCCACATATTTTATCTGGGCTCTGCAAATGTCTGATTGAAGATGTGGATGAGGAAGAGCGTTGTGTGTGCTTTTATTCCACGAAGAAGCTTTGAGCACACTAACCTTTGTACAGCCAAATGTTTATTTCAGGATGCTGCTTGCTTTTGGCTAGTTTCTCTCTTCCCCTGCTTCCTTGATTCTGATGGATGTCCCCTTTTGTCAATTCAAATGCATTTTCTTCCTAGCATCATTTCTCTCCACACAGTTGGTGGTCAAGGGCAGGTCTGTATTCTCGTAATTTATGGTAACTGATCCCGGGCATTTAATCTGTTCTCTTCCCTGCCCCCTCCCCTTGCATTCACCATGGAATGGGATCCAATGAGGGAAGATCTTGGCCTCCTCTTGGTTGCACCTCCAGCTGTTGGAGAACAGCAAAAACAGCTGAGTAAACTTGAGGTTGGGGATCAGGTTTAGGGGGATGTCGTTTTAGTAACCTGAACATCGCTCCCTGTGTAAGCAAACGCTGGATTATAAGGGGCACCATTTGCCTTCCATGGCAATTCTTTAACAGGGATGACTCTAGTGAAAATGCCAACAACCTCCCCCACACACACACACAAATTGGGATGCCTCCCACATTTTCATACCAAAGTTTTTGAAGCCAGACAGGTGTACATGCAATGCCATTAATCTTGTAGGGAGTGTATTTCAGATCTGGAAATGATTGGTACTAACTGTGAAGAGTACCAATCATTTTTAGCAATAGGCTTCTAAATCTGGAAATGATTGGTACTAACTGTGAAGATGAAGCTTTTTAGCAATAGGCTTTTAAGCAGTCAAGTCTCAGTCTTTCTCTCAGAACTGTACAAGTTTCCCTTGGAGTTCTAAAAGGAAAGGCGAGGAGGGTGCTTTGGTTGTTTGTTTGTCCTTGGAGATGAACTAGCACAGGGAGAGGATAGTAAGGCCAGGCTGTGGTGTTTTGTTGCCTGAGGCAAAGAACATGATAGCACACGCACCCACCACAATGAGAGACGTGAACCAGACCAGTGTGTGAATTTCTCTACAGTGTTAGGATAGTATCCTCCATTTCACCAGAGGGCAGTTGGCTAATTTAGTGGGGAAGGAAATGCTCTTCACATAGTTCTGTCTGCCAACACAGGGAAGTGGCTCAGAAGAATCATCCCATAGGTTGCTACTACTGTCTTCAGCATCTTGATCCACTCTCTCTAATGGTAGGGCTGGACCTTGACAATATATACCTGTGGAATATCGCACCTTAATCCTGGGCATATTTACGTGTATGTGAAAATAGCCTTGGAAAGGTGTGCCTCTAGTGCAGAAGAAAGTAAGAGCCAAGCAACATTTCAACATTGGTGAGAGGGACACAGAAGTATTCATAAATTTGGGAGGGCATACTTTCAATAGGTTTGAGAAACGATGCTTAGCTGCCTCAAGATGGCATTTACCAACAGCCCTGGTCCACGGGGCTTGTATTGCCATTCACCCTTTTGAAGGCCTGCTCTAGGCAGAAAGAATCCTCAGCTGCATTGTTTCACATTACAAATGAGGTGATACAAAGGATAGAGTTCAGGGTTCCAGCGCAGTAGACTAGGGCTTAGTTAATCAATCATTGTGCTACATTTCTTGCAGCAGCCTAGCAGATGGCTGCTTAACTTGCCGAGCATTTTGTCAACCGCTTTTCTGATGGCTAGCATAAAGATTTGCTTCTCTAGCTTTGGCCTGTGATAGAAGACAAGCCATCACTACATTCCACAAAAGAGCTTCAGTGCAGAAAACAGCACTGAATTCAGAAATCTTTCCAAATTGCATTCCAAGTCTGAATCATGACAAGCATGGGGTGTGAAGCACTGGCCGGAGTAATTCAGAATGGCTTTTATTTGGAAAGCAGAGCAGGGACAGAATTTCAACTGTTAGTTTATAGAGGTGAAGCTTCTTTTCAAGTTTTTAATTCAGAACATTTACTGGTTCATTGCATCATGGATTCCACTTGGCACCAGCTGATTAACTTCCTTTTCTTTCCATGCCCAATGGAAGGATTATATCATGGGACCCTGGCTTGGGGAATGCCTGAGAGCTGATTTAGGATAGAATTATGCAGAGTTTAAACACAGGAGTAGTTCTTGCTGCTTCATTCCACAGGTCTTTAAGCAAGTCTTCTGGCTTGTCCGACATGAACCAATACTTCAGGTCAGAGCCAACCACCCTGTTGATTGCTCCTTATATGTAAGAGAGTTCTCATAGGCTGAAGAAACAAATGGGTACTCAACGCCTGGTGGCTTCATGAGCCTGGCAGCTGTGTGGTCCTGAAAATGATTCATTTTGGATTCATTTTGATTTGCTAGCTTTAGATGTGATTGATTTTCATTCTTACAGAGTTGACACACACACACACACACACATGCACACATATTGGCTGAAATCCTGTTGCTCAGTATAGGAAGATGCACTAGAGAAGGCCCATTTGAGTCAATTGAACTCATGGAAGAGTTAAGTCTCCAAATCCCCACAGATTCAATGAACTACTTTAGTGCAATTTGCTACACAGAGCAATAGGAGTTCAGCCTTTGTATGTTGTTGTTTTTAAAGCCACCTTGAATATCACCTTGTTAGCTGGCAGACTGGGCTTAGATAGATAGGAATTGTGCTTTTTCGGCCTTCATTTCCCAGAATCCCCTTTTTGCAGTTCTGGGAATAGCAGGCAAGAAACAAATGTTTAACATCTCTGGTTGGCAGACCACTGTAAGAGCAAATTCTGCCAATTTGTAATTGTGAGGGCATTTTCCTTCACTCATTGATCCTCCCCACCCAGGCTGTTCAGAGGAGGAACTGCAGAGGAGTTGGTGAAGAACAAGTGTGCTCACATGATGAAATTGTTTCCCACTTATGCCCAAGTTAGATTGTAGCATGAATTTGCAGTTACATTAGCAATTAATTTTACCAGCCAGCGGGATAACTGCGGTTCAATTCCCACTCGCCAGGAGGCTTCTGGTTACTTTTTGTTGCAGTGGTGTTTCAATATACAGTGGTGCCTCGCATAACGGGCGCCCTGTTTAATGATGAATCCGCATAGCGACGATGTTTTTGCGATCGCTTTTGCGATCACATAACGATGTTTCCTATGGGGGGAAATCGCTTTGTGATGATCGGTAAGCTGTTTTGCTTACCGATTTTCGCATAGCGATGTTTTTCCCCCAGCTGATTGGCGGTTCCACATTGGCCACCAGGTAAAACAGGGACGGATTCCTCACTTACCGGGCAGCTAAAATGGCCACCGTATGGAGGATTTTCGCTTAAAAGGTAAGTTTTAAGCCCATAGGAACGCATTGAAGGGGTTTCAATGCATTCCTATGAGCTTTTTAATTTCACATAGTGACGAATCCGTATAGTGACGATTTTTGCTGCACGGATTATCGTCGCTATGCGGGGCACCACTGTATTCCTTAGCAGTACGGCATGTGTGTACAATATTATTGATACTTTTTTGAAGCAAATTCACTGGGGAAGCCAGATGCGCACGGATTATCGTCGCTGCCCTTCTCTATACAGTGGTGCCTCACTTAGCGACGTTAATCCGTTCCAGGAAAAATGTTGCTAAGTGATTTAATTGCTAGGCAATTTTTAAAAGCCCATAGAAACACATTAAAACGTGTTTAATGTGTTTCTATGGGCTTAAAAACTGACCTTATGCGAAGATCCTCCATAGGGGCGGCCATTTTCGGTGCCTCTAAAGTGAGGCAAAACAGCGGGTGGCCATTTTGTTTTTCCAGCTGCCATTTTGGAACCTCCAGCTGTGCAAAAAGGGTCGCTTCCCCGCGATCATCGCAAAGCAATTTTTCCCCATAGGGGCCATCGCTAAGCGATCGCTCTGGTGATGGCCAAAACCCCTATCACTAAGCAATTTCATTGCTCAACGGAGCAATCGCTAAGCGAGGCACCACTGTATTTTTTAATTTTTTCCACGGCCTGAGTATCACTATATTGGTAAACTTCAGTCAACCGCTTTAAAGGAATTGGTAGGTGTTGTATCACTCCACCTGCTGTCTGGCAAGTGACACAGCCCTGGGTAGGGGTGCCAGGTGACATATTGTGTGTATATGTTTGTTTGTTTAAATAATGCATATATATGTCGCAGTGCTGCATAAAACAAGATAGAAAATAAATCGGTGCCACAGTGTAGCTGTTCATAACAATTCAAATAGAAGAAAATGGATTGGTAACATTAAAACACATCGGCATGCATATCCGGATATATATACCACGTGACTGCAATGCATTACAACAAAGACATGGGAAGCATCTTTAAAAGTAGGGACCATTTCCCTAGGGTGACTGTGGCCTCAGAGAGGTGAAGCCAAGCCTGCGTGTATATCAAGGTCTCACCTTGGATCACTTTACAGTCAAAGATTTATCCTTGAATAAGAGAAACATGTCTGAGGCAACACTGTGGAAGACTTGAGTCAAATTGCTACGGTTAAATAAACACCACGTTTCATAGTAATGTATTAGGAGAAAATGCCCAATGATAAACTCTTAAACTGATTTCCTCACCCAGCAGTATGGTTTTTTTTTCTTTCCAGTGAAGGATCAAAGTAAATTTAGATCTTCACCAGTACAGGTGGGAGAGAATTCTGAGACGTGATGGGGATGGAGCAGGATCTCCTCCATAAGCCAGTAAAGTCACATGGACAGCCCGACACCTCTAGACAGCCCTGCACGTCCCAAGAGCTGGAAGGAGACTCTTCTCCGGCTCAGCCTGCCCCTCTTTACAGGTCTCTTCCTTCTCTCCTCTTTGCAGACCCAGCCTTCGTCCATGCGCAGCTCATTCCAGACAGCGCCGAGAGGAATGATGACAAGCTCTACTTCTTCTTCCGTGAGAAGTCCACCGATTCCCCACAGAGCCCTGTTGTTTACTCTCGTATTGGCCGCATTTGCCTGGTATGAGCTGAAGATGGAGTTTCTTCACCTGTTTATTTCACTTACATTGTTTCTGTCCAGACCTCTCCCCCAAAGAGACTCAAGAGGGGATTCTTCTCTGTCACCTGCCTGCTCATCTTCACCGCTACCTCCTCAGCTGCTGTGAAAGGCTGGAGCTTTTGGGGTTCTGAGCTATGAACCCCCTCTGCTACTGCAGCTACCACTGCCCATGCTGTGTCTTGCTCTTTGGGGCCCACAGCCATGGGCCTGAAGCGACCCAGCACTCCCATGCAATTAGCACTCTTGTCCTGCTCTCCTGAGGCCCCTTTTCAAGAATGGGCTTCTAAGAAGCTCCAGACTCTTCAGAATACGACAGCTCAGTCCTATCCCTCTCCAATGAGAAGCAAGTCCCACTGATTTCTGTATAATCAGGATGCAGGCGATAGTAATGTGGTCTGTGTGACACTGGCTGCAAGTTCATTTTCTGCTGTTTTGCTTTGCTTTAGAATGATGATGGGGGCCACTGCTGCTTGGTGAATAAATGGAGCACGTTTCTGAAAGCGCGACTCATTTGTTCTGTGCCAGGGCCGGATGGGATCGAAACGCACTTTGATGAACTCCGTAAGTACACTAAGGGGAGGGGGTTGTGGTGTGCGCAGGGTGAATGGGAACAGGAAATATGAAAGGCCATACCTCTACCTAACATTTTCATCTGAAATAAATCTTTTTTAAGAAAGTAGCATAACAATACACTAATGAAGGAAAGGAGAAGAAACTCACAAATTGATGTCTACGGCTCAAATAGAACCTCAGCTCAAATGAAGTACTGAAAATTCTGTCTCCTTTTTGGTCCATTCATGGTTAAAGTCTGCAATCAGAAGTGTGCTGAGATTTAACAGAATAAGGGATACAGTGTATGCAGTGGAAATAGCCATTATTGATTTCTTGGTCATTGCAAGGGGAAGTTTGCAGTATCTGTGGATTGAGGGGGAGGAGGGGGGTTCACTCCCCGCCCCAAGGATGCATAGGATTTTATGGCTTGAAAAAAGTTCAGGAATTATCCAGTACAGCCTTGTAAGTATCTGCCACATTGCAAATATTTCTGGCAGATTTCCCTTGCCACATAAAAGTACAGTCTGTGATTTACAGTGTGCCTGAATCAGAGAGCAAGGGCAGATCCTGGAATTCACAAAGCCACATGCCTCAGGGATGTGGTGCAAGTTCATAGAACTTTGATACTGTATAGTTATGTAGTTAAGATTATATATTAAGATTAATTCAGGTTAAAATACTGTTAGCCACTTTGGACTCTCCTTTGTATAGGTGGTGGATAAGCATATATAACTTTTAAACAAGAAATGTCCATGTTGGATATAATAACAGAAACTGCTGAGTGAAAAGTAAACATTTGTGTTTTATAACATAGTTATGTAGTTAAGATTATATATTAGACAGTGTATTATGGTAATCACTTTGAACTAGAAAGGTTTTTGCTGAATTTAATACTAGACGTTTTGATCTGAAACTTCCACACAAAGTGGAGATTATAATATGGTTTAAAGATTTTAGTAGGATAATATGGTTATGTAGTCAAGACTATGTATTAGATATGATTGTATGGAAAACACCTCCCTGCGTGTATGCTTGGTGTGTCTTGTACAGTATGTTTGTCTGTGATATAATAAAACATTTTTTAAAAAAAGAATGGAAGGACAGAGGTGGAAGATGGATGAAAGAGAGTAAAGAATAAGAACACCAATGATTCGGGAGATCTTTTTTTTAAAATGTGGCCTTGCTGAATAGCATCCTTTTGTTAAAATGCTCTTAAAGTAAGTCACATTCCACTGTGTGTGTGTGTGTGTGCGCGTGCGTGCACGCGCGTGTGTTTTGTTGTTGTTGAACAATTGCAGAAGGAATTCCTGTCTTGCTAGATAATTGCAAAGCTTAACCCAAATTAAATGTTCACTCCTTTTGGAAGAGTAGTTGAGTCCCATCACAGTCTCTTTCACCATACTGTCATAGATGAGGGCGGGGGGGGGGGGGGNTAAAACAAGCCAGAGGTTAGAGTCTAGGGTGGTGAATTTCAGGCTGCCTAGGCTGTGAGGAGCAGAACCTTGTTCACAGAGAGAATCTGGGGCTGGAGAAGATGAAAGAGTCCCCTCCTCACGAGGCAGACCTACCCATTGTGACTTCTAGTGCCTTCACTGCCCTTGGTGGCCTGGTGCTCATTCAGGGGAAATCAGCACTCTCCTCTCCCCTACACTTGAGAGGAGTCCACATAAACGTTCTGCAGGATGCCTTGACCTCCCAATCTCTCTTCATGATGGTTTCAGCGCAGACCCTCACTGTAGCCAATACTCCTTCATACCCACCACTCACGATCGTACTCACTGCTGCCAACTGCAAGAACTGAGTAAAACCCACACCCATAGGACACTCCTGCGCCCGTCTCATTCAGAAACGGCACCCTGATTCCAAGTGAGAGAAAACTCACCTGAGCACAGCTCTCTGGTAGGATGCAAAAGGCATGTCGCTTTAGGCAATGCAGCCGCCCTGAAGTGATCCCTTTGATCGTCACAAGATAGCTTTTTGCTTGGTTCCTATGGTTCCACTGTGCCCCCACCTCCCACACAGGCCAAGCGCTTCTAACTCTCTCCTTTCTCTTCAAGAGGATGTCTTCATCCAGCAAACCCAGGATGGAAAGAACCCCATCATTTATGCTGTTTTTGCTGCCTCTGGGTGAGTGTGGTCTGGGAACAGGATATCAAGCCTTTTCTTCTGGGCTCGTAGGCATCCATGCAGAAGCTCAGCTTGAGATGGCAGAGCCCCAGTTTTAACACAACAGCTGAAATTATTTGAGGAGCAGACAGTGTTCAGTCTGTTAGTGATCTGTGGCGACATGGTCCATTCCTAGCCAAGGAAAGAGCATGATCTCCAAAGGGGTCATCCTGGAATCTTCTGGCAAGGCTGGAACTGATCCCAGGAGTAGCATCTGCTTGCCAAGCTTAGGGTTTTCCCATAAATGTAGCCATTGCAGCTGTAGTTGGTGACTCGATCCTCTGGGGAAGAAGGCAGGTGGAGCCCCCCACACACACTCCCAACAATTCATACACTATCTGTTTACGCCCCTGCAGGGTCAGGAGGGCATCGGGTCTTTTGTTAAACCAGCAGCAGCAGCAGCTAAGTGCCATTTTCCCTAGTGCTTGGAATGACTAATCTTGGAATGTTGTATCAGAAGGATTCTGGCCTCCCTCTAAAGCAGCTGCTTGGAGGTGGTCCCAGAGCACCAAAGTTACACTGTCTTAGCTGACCCCCTTCCCTCACTGCCTTGCTCGTCTGGCACTTTGTGGCAGGCAAGGGATCTCTGCTTCTCGAAGATCCCTGTTGTTACACAAGTTACCAAAGGCTTAAGGGCAGTTCAAAGGCTTGCCAATAGCAGAGGTGACTGCCCTGCCTTTAACACTGTGATGGGCAAGAGGGCAGGAACATCAAGGAGGAGACTGCACGTGAGATGAGGGCAAGAACATTGTGGCCACCTTTTATATATGGGGAGGGGGTTGCAGTGAGAGTCTCCGTAGAGACTAACCCAGGTTTTCCTGTGCTGTATTTATACAGGTCTGTATTTAAGGGCTCCGCTGTGTGTGTCTACTCCATGGCTGACATCCGCATGGTCTTCAATGGACCTTTTGCACACAAGGAAGGTCCCAATTACCAGTGGATGCCTTACACGGGCAAAATGCCTTATCCTCGGCCAGGCACAGTAAGTACGGGTGAAAGTGTGGAGGAATTAATCTTCTCCCAAGGCCTCAGCCTGACGGCATGCTCTCCCTGCTAGTCTAAATATATTTATTCTGAGCTCAGTGGGTCTTGTATATGAATGCCTGTCCTTCACAGTGTGTATGCACACTACAAATGCTGGAAAGATGTGTGAAGGAGTCTGCCTGTACAATGGAGTATGAATGGGGTCCTCTTCTGCAGTGTGGACTTCCTTTGTGGTGTAAGCATTTGCGTCAAGCCATAGCCCAGCAGCAGAGCAAAGCGAAAGCACACTGATAGAAAGTAGAGTGTTTGCTGTGACTAGCTTGGGGTCAGGAACATGCCGTCCTCTAGTTTCTTCAACTACAGGCCCCATTGGCCTCAACCAGCATGGTCAGTGGTCCAAGATGATGGGAGCAGCAGCCACACGATATTTGGAGGCTCCAGCCCCCCAACTGTGCTCTGACTAAAGGATCATAAAGTGAAAGGTCCCTTGGCAGAACAGCTGCCTGATGGAGCCAGCATCAAAGTCACCATAGAATGCAACAGCTACAGAACCTAGTTGTATTCTGGATTCTTTAACAAATCCCAACTGGTTTTAAACCTCCCTGTTCCTCCTCAGGGGAATTTGTCTGCACTCAAGTTTTGTTCTTTTAAAAAGATGTGGTCGGGACTCTGCTGTTACAGTAATTGGCCTTGGTCCAAATAAAGCAGCTCTATATGATCCGTTTCCTACGAATTTGTGTGATGGTTGCAATTTAAGTAATTCAGGCCAAAAGTACATAGAGTGGACAGATCTGGAGAGAGAGTGGACATAGTTACATAGCACAGGATATATGGTAAGTTGCTCTATACTGAGTCAGGTCATGGACCCATCTGACTTCTATTGTCAACACTGGTTGCCAGATGCTTCCTGGGTTTCTGGACAGTTTTCCCAGTCAAAGGATTGGCTAAGATGCTAAGAACTGAACCCAGTGCCTTCTGTGTGGAAAGTCTGCGGTCTACCACTGAGCTTGGCTCATTGCTCTATGGCTGTGCTTTTCCTGAAGGAGTGCCAGTCCTTGGCATCTCCAGTTGAAGGGATTTCAGGTATCAAGACTAGCAAAGGCACCTTTGTTGTAAGAAGTGGAGAGTGCGGTCAAGACAGGTAGAGACCTGGGCTTCGAAAGCTACATTTGAGAGAAATTTTATTAACTCATTGCTTTCCTGTGTGCAGCTCATTAGCATGACTCATCTTTTACACAGCTGCCTTAGTCATGTGTTACTAATTATTATTATAAAAATAATTCTTCAGAAAAATGAAAAATGGCCCCAAATGACCTTATAAAACCAATATTTTACAAGTAATGAATAGTTATTGTTTGCTAAAGTCCATTGTCGATGTTTTGCTACCTCTTAAAAAGAGAAAGGTCAATATTTCTATCCACAAATCAATGCCACAGGTGACGTGTTTTGCTACCTCTTAAAAAGAGAAAGGTTAATATTTCTATCCACAAACCACAGGTGACATTTTTCTTATCATGCATTACTGCTTAGCTCTAGTAAATACAGCAGCTAGAGTTCACTGGTGTGCTCCTTTCTCATCAGTGTCCCTTCCACGACTGCCTTGGCTATAAACAGATATTCTCAAACGTGGCTTCATTTCATCTCACAGATTTCTTCTTCTGTCGCTTTCTCTTAGCCATGTGGTTATAGGTAACAGACTGCCTCTTTTCTGCCTCCCAAGTTTATAATTCACTTCCTTTTTACCAAAGGTAGCCTGGCGTATATGATTCCAGGCATCAGCTTCCTTGTATTCTGCTATGCCTGGGGCTAAGCCAGAAGAGGGGGACTGTTAGCAGTCTGGATGTTGCCACACTACAGTGCCCAGCATCCCTGACCATTGGCCAGGCTGAGTGGGGCTGATGGGAGTTGGAGTCCTAGCTGCAGCCAGAAAACCACTGGCTTCTCACCCTTGGACTAGGAAATCCTGTGATCTTAATTAATATGATCTTACTTAGCACTTTGTCTTCTGCACAGCAGTGTTCATAGGTGGGAAATCTTGGGCTGCTCTTCCTGTGGAACATATGGCCCTACACTAGCCCACCTGCTTTCTTCCTCATGTCCCTCCCTGTGTTCACGCCTCCTGCTCTGATTCTTTCTCAGTCTGTCTCCCTTTGCTTTGCCTTCCAGCCTTCCTTACTATCCATCCCCTTGGCTACAATGCAGCCAACAGCTTTTCGGCCCTACTCGCAGCTTGACATTTGGCCACAGCGTGGGAAGCTGATTAGTATTTCCTCTCTAGGTTGGTGGTCCCATTTGCTGGCATTTCTCCTTTGTTGGCAAAATACCTCAAAATAAGGAGAACTCATTGCTTCATTTTATTGGCCTGGAGAACCTGGCTCTCCCAGGCCTTTTGTTCAGGCGCCAAAGAGCCAGATATGGATGTACTGTGGAGAGGCTTCAAAAATGGAAAGAATGGATGAAATTTTTTTAGGCTCTTATAGCATATCAGTTATGTCAGACGGCATCCTGAGACATTTGTGAGAATCTAAGGACACCAACATTTCATTCTGTTTCCATATGTCTGACGAATTGGATGTGCCCACAAAAACTTACATTAAAATATAATAGTTAGTCTTTGAAATGCCACATGTTTTTGTCTTGTTTTGTTTCTTTGGATTTCACCAACCTAGGAGTAGTATCCTTATCAGCAGAAATAACAAACTTTCAAAACTGGTCCTCATTCCCAAAAAGAGCCAAGGAATACTGCATTCTGCTGGTTGTAAAGAATTGGAGGCATCTTGCATAAGACATTAGCAGCTTTGATATCTCTTAAAGATACACTCTGAATGGTCAACAGCTTTGATTTCACCCAGGAATGGATTCTAAGCCCACCAAATAAGCCGAGAATGGCCTCCCGTTCCTCCTGCACTGAATGGCATTTCTTTCCTGATGTCCCTCAGCAGCTGATCCGTGTGCCCTCTGCTGAGGGATGTAAAGGGAGAATACCACTGTGACAATGGCAGAGAACGCTGGAGATCAGGGATGCTGCTAGGGAGTGGAAGAGAGCCTATGAAACCTGGATTGAGGCAACAGGCAGCCAGTGACATATTCTTGAAACATGTTTGCTCTGAGGGACGGCAGGGAACCTTTTTCGGCCCAGACTCCAAATTCCACTTCAGAGGGGCCCCTTAGAGGCTCCTGCACATTCCAGGGGTAGATGGGGGCCAAAGGGGAAAGTGCCAATTCCTAGATGACCAAGTTATGCATCTACCAGCTGGTTGGTTGTGCCATATTTCACACCTTTTTCCCTTGGGATTCTAGTGCCCAGGAGGGACATTCACACCCTCGATGAAATCAACCAAGGACTACCCTGACGAGGTCATCAACTTCATGCGCACTCACCCCATGATGTACAACGGCGTGTATCCCATCCACCGCCAGCCGCTCGTGGTGAGGACCAACGTCAACTACAAGTTTACAACTATTGCCGTGGACCAGGTGGACGCAGCTGACGGGCGCTATGAGGTGCTTTTCCTGGGCACAGGTACCCACTGATGTGCACCGAAGAGAATACGCAAGCACTCTCCCTCCCACTCACCACCCACCACCACTCCCCAGCATGGCAGACATGAGCACGTCAAGCTGGCTCACCCATCTGGGATGGGGTGACCAGGGCTAGTTCACTTCATTTTTTCCTGTTGGTTGCCATCACCATCACCCCACCCTAGCCCACACCTCTGGTATGATTCGGAAGAGTGCTCACTGGAAGAGAGTGGCAGCAAGAGCAGACCCCCTCAGCCTCCGCTCCTCCTTCCACACTTCCCGTTTCAGCAGTTCAGGAGCCCAGCTGGAATTTCCTTTTGGCCCTACGTCTTTCTAGAGGGGCACAGGAACTCCGGCTGAGGTCCATTGGTTCTTAACGTCACACTAAAGAATTCCTTTCAGTGAGCATCGCCATGTAGTATCGATCCTTATTTTCCTTTGGACTGGTGCTTTCCTTCCAGATACAAGTTCTAGAAGTCTGGCAACGATGGTCTCTTAGGACAGAAACAGATGCTACAGAGAATGTGTCATTAGAAAAGCTGAAGTTGCTGAGTGCATGCACAGCCAGGGGCTTTTCTTGCCTCACAGAATCTGCAGATCAGCTTGCTTTGTTTTGTAATTGGCCTTCAGAACTTAAGCAGAGAAGTCCCTTGAAGTCTTGATTTCTCACACACCACAAATCTGCATGATTCATATCTCTCCACCCCTGAGGTGCTTTCAGTTCTAACCATGAGCAGTCTGTAACATATGTTTCTGCCCTCGGTTTTCAGTGAATGGGAACTTTCCTATTACTTCAACCATCTTGTGATGGTAAGAATGTGGGGATTCCTTTACATTTGTGTGAGGCCTCCTTGTCCAGCTGCCTGTTTGCAAACATGGCCAGCCAGAGCTTCTAGCCTTTCCTTTATCTGTGCTAGGGAAGGCAGCCTGGTGTCCTCCAAATGTATTAAGATATAAATCCCATTTCAGATACAATGGTGCCTCGCTTTATGATTGCCCCACATTACGAAGAATCCGCATTATGATGATGTTTTTGCGATCGCAATTGCAATCGCAAAATGACGGTCTAAATGGGTGAATTTTGCTTTGCGATGATCGGTTCCCTGCTTCAGGAACCGATTCTCCGCAAAACGATATTTTTAAACAGCTGATCGGCAGTTTCAAAATGGCCGCCGGGTAAATAAAATGGCTCCCCGCTGTGTTTAGGGACAGATTCCTCGCTATACAGGCAGCCAAAATGGCCGCCATGTGGAGGATCTTCGCTGGATGGTGAGTTTTAAGCCCATTGGAACACATTGAAACATTTTCAATCCGTTTCAATTGGCTTTTTATTTTCGCTTTACGATGTTTTCACTTAACGGCGATTTTCCTGGAACGGATTGTCGCCATTAAGCGAGGCACCATTGTAATAATAATCTGCATAGCGGGAAGGGACCCTACGGATCATCAAATCCAGCCCCTGTCAGGAAGGCCCAGTGAGGAATTGAATTCCCAGCCTCTGGCTCTGCAGTCAGAGACCTAAACCACTGAGCTACCCATCAATCACAGGCAGCTTGGTAATGATCAGACATTATGGAAGTCATAGCCCAAAATGCATGGAAGGCACCAAATGGACTCTTTCTGAGTTAGCATACAATTTAAAAACAAATGAACAACACTTTTTATCTAGTGAAATCAGGTTTTTGCTCCCAGCTTTGTGACCAACTGGAGTTCTCCCAGCTTGAAATAAGGCATTTCTGCTGGAAACACAAGTCCTCTTCTTCTCATCTGCAAACTGCTTCCCTTGAAGTTGAACAGCAGAACAAGTGGCGTAAATGCAGAGGCATATTGATGAGAGGCAGGAAGGCACGACGGGAGAAAAGGAACGCAGGGGCACTTGTCTAGCGGACTAGTCGTGGCAGCAACCACTGGCATTTGGTCCAGCCAGCTGTAGGTGAATGCCTTGTTTCCCAGCAGGTCAAGGGGGCACCGCCAGTCCTCGGAGCAGGTGGCCAGAAATACTAACGAGCCAGAATGTTCTCATTAGCTGGCAAAGGCTCTGTCTCTGCACAGCTGTTCTCAGGGCTACCCCACAGCTGTGCATAGTCCCGCCGCCAGCTGACAGAGCCCAGAGGGGCTCCTCTTTCTTTCTGACCAGAGGGGTAACGAATCTCTAGCTCTTGGTTGCTTCCTGTTGTAGAGAGAAGCAGAAAAAGCTGACTAATCCCAGGCATTTGGCCCACCTCATGGAAGGAAGGAATTAGGGCATTGTTCAGTCCAGAAAGCAAACAGGGCAGGGGAAATGGCTTGGTGGCTTTCTTGGCAATACGTGCCTGTTTTCAGTTTCTTCTCCAGCCGTATGAACTGGTAATGAACAAAGCTGCCAAGTTCACTCAGGGAAAGAAGCCAGGCGCGTGAAGGTTTTGAGCAGGGCTGACCGTTAGAAAAGAGTTGGAAGAAGGATACATAGGTTACCACCCTGCCTGTCATATTTGTGAGCACATGCACTAATTCCATGATTGCATTTGAATGAATGTAGATTGTGCATGAAAAAACAACAACAGAAGTAAAACATCCCCTGAAAATAAGCCCGAATGAGTTTTTTGGAGCAAAAATTAATATAAGACTATGTCTTATTTTTGGGGAAACAGGGCGTTCACACACACACACACACACACACACACACACACACACACACACACACACACACACCACAAATAATAATAATAAATGTCTTATTAAAGTCATTGACCAGCAAACACACATAAAATAAACATTCCTTTTTAGAGCAGAGGTTCTGAACATTTCACATTTTCAGTCAAACTGGGTATAACCAGGATGCAAATTTTAAAAGCTCTTTCCCACAAAAAATACATCTGTGTTTTTACACATGCTCCAGTATTACATTTTTATTTCATTTATGGTAAGTTGTAGATTTATTACAGTTAGCAGAAATATTCTTGGGAGTGAACACAAATAAACAGATGGATAATTATGTTACTGGTAGTTTAAGATTGAATGGTCTTAATTATAAATGTTACTGGTGCAGTAATTGTGAAAAACAAAGGTAATAAGTAACAATGGCAATACAGTGGTGCCTAGACTTACGAATGCCCCAACCTACGAACATTTCGACTTACAAACAGTTCCGCTCGCAAAATTTAGCTTCGACTTGCAAGCGGAGCTTTGACGTAAGAACAGAAAAAGGCAGGAAATTCAAACCGTTGGTGGCAAAGAGGCTGCTTCTTTGTAGCTCTTTCGCCCCAACGGTGAGGGAACTTTTTACTCCTGCGGGGCAGGAGGAGGAAGGAGAGGCAGTAGCAGCTCCGGATTGCCGCCAGGTGCAGGAAGGCGGTGCGGTCCCTGCTATCCCTGGTGCGGGTCTGTCCATGAGTAAGGGCTACCAAAGGCCCTGGGCTGGGCTGGGGTGCGCAGGTCAGAAGGGCTCCTCCATAGACGGGGCGTGTGGTGGCGGAGCAGGAGGAGGAAGGAGAAGCAAGGCGGCTCCGGTTCACCACTGGGCGCGGGAAGGCAGTGGGCATTCTGCCCATCCCTGGCACGGGTCTCCTCCTGAGTAAGGGCCCCCTCCGCCATGGCCGGCCCCGCCACCGCCACCTCGGTTGCCCTATGCCATCCGCTGGGGAGTGAGTTGCTTTTTAGAAACTTCTGGGTGGGTTTTGCAGGGTGGGTTTCAGCTGAGGGGGGGTTATGTTTCTGTGCTGTGTTGTTTGTGTTTGGTGATTTTTTTATTTTTTGTTTATTTATTATTTTGCAGTCCCAGCGTGGAGATTGCTTGATGTTTACTTTTGGGGTTTTGTTTGTTTGTTTGTTTATTTATTATTTTGCAGTCCCAGCGTAGAGATTGCTTAAACAGGGCTTGCTCTGTTTATTTTTGTTTTTTTTTAAGCCCCAGTGCCTTCCGATGGGGCTTTCTGTATGCTTTATTTTATTATATTTTTTTGTATTTTTTTGAAATGCTAGAACGGATTAATCCCATTCCTGTGCATTTCAATGGGAAATGGTTCTTCGACTTACGAGCATTTCAACCTACAAACACCATTCTGGAATGGATTAAGTTCGTAAGTCGAGGCACCACTGTAATTGGGAAATCATTTTGTTGCTGTGGCAAAAATGGAAACAAATGTGAAAATTCTACAGTTGACTGTTACGAAAACCATGTGTCAACAGTGACACAAGTACCACAGGCTTTTTTTCCCTGCAGCTGACTCTTCACTGTATCAACGTCCAGACTATTGAACTTTGCTATGAATTGCCCCTCTCATTAATGCATTCCTAGGTGTGGAGGTGCGTATGCATGTGCTTCCCAGCCTAAAATGGGAAGGGTGACATTGTTGTATGCCCTGAAGGAAGGCATGAAACGGCTTTTCACCAACTCCCAAATTCAGATGATAGATAGAAATTAATGTAAGTTTTCTAGAGTAAGTGTCAGAAGTCAAATATCCCTCCTCACTCTACCCATACACCTTTTCTTCTCCCATTTGAGAGCAGCTGAAGTAATTGCAGTGGTGGTACAAAAGCCTCTTCATGCAGTCAGCTGGTTAAATGGAGCCTTTGTTCCCTTTTATGAGCAGAAATTCAAGGCAAGACTGTCAACGGTCATGCTAGTTTCAGGGGAAAGTGTGCTGAAAGAGCCTGCACCTGGAACTCCCACAAGGGCCCCCCAAAAAAGGTCATGAGCATACGAATAGGTGGCCTGTAGTCTCTGCGGTGTGGGTCTCACTCCAGAATCTGGGAGTGATGCTCTCTTACCTCCATCAGCAGCCCCTGAGCACAACAGACCCACTGACACATCCTCTTAGTATCACTTGCATTCCCTTTTCATTCATAACCCCTGCCACTGGGACTGATTCTTTACAACCTAAAATTATTCACTGCACAAAAAATATCACATAATATTAAAATGAGGGTTGTTTATTTGTTCTTTGGGGTTTTTTTTAAAAGAGTGTTTTTCACTTGGTTAAAAAAAATCTTTTGGTCTGATCCTTTCTAATGACTAAATGTAATAGTCATTCTGAGACTGGTAAGCATGTGGATAAAACATAACCCTTATAGACTTCTTGTGTCACTGCTTTCCCCCCTCTTGCTGTCAGTTCTGTCAAGATAGCATCATATACTCCTTACAAGCCACCCTGGACTCCTTATCCACAGACAGAAAGTATTGTTCCATCATTGACACCCTTTCTTTACCCTAAGTTTTCCTCTTTGTTTCTGTTCGTTTGTTCCCAATTGTTGCTCTGAAGTGCTTTTTGCGTTTCCCTCCCACACGCCAGCCACAGGGAACGTTTAGCCCCTTTCCACTCCAATTCACAAGGGGGCTCCTCTTGGACTTTCTCATGCCCCTTCTCTTGAATTGGCATCACGAGGGAGATTCCTTGGAGCGGACTCAGGTTCCAGCTTCACCTGCCTCTTGCCTCCAGATTGGCAAAGCCCACTGTATCCCTGTGTGAATGATGGGAGGAGGGAGGCAAACACACTGGGGGCCACAAGCCAACAGGAAGGGGTGACCCAATCCAGTGCCAGCACATAAGCTCTGATGTGCTTGTCTAGAGACAATTCAGCCTTCATAGAAAAAAAAAGTCTCCCTCTCTCTAGACACACACACATTTCCTTTTTAAAGGACTGTTGACCGCTCTTTGAATGTGGGAGTCACAAAATATGAATGTTGAGTGCATACAGACAGTTACAGGATCTGAGAAGGAATGGGGCTTTCCCAGTGGTAGCCACCTCATTACAGAATTCTTGGTCAAGGACCTTTTTCTTGTCATTTGTCTTACAGAGTATTATGTTAGATTTGGCCCGTGCGCTCCTCCAGATGCTCTGTAAGAGCTATGATGACAGTAGCATTTAAACTTTGTGATGACAAGCAGAAAAGGGGGGGTGAGAGAAGGCTGTAGTCGATGCTCACTTCTCTTTGTGTGCTTCCTTTGTGTTGTTGCAGATCGTGGCACTGTCCAGAAGGTCATAGTCCTGCCCAAAGATGATATGGAAACAGAAGAATTGATGCTGGAAGAAGTGGAAGTATTCAAGGTACGTCTCTTTAACCCTTAATTATCTCAAGATCACTCCCTCCTCTTCCATAAAGCCGGTGGGACTGAAAGCTGTGGTAGCGTTGTGATGGAAAATCTGAACAACAGAGTTCCTCACTTAAATTCCACACCAGCCATGAAGCCAAGAGATCACCTTAGGCAGACCTTGGTTTTGCCTCAGCCCTTTTATCTGCTGCACAGTGAACAATGCATGCTTGCTTGCTTGCTTGTTTACATTGCAAGCATGTTCTAAAGACTGCAAAATATTCAAAATTGCTATTTGATATGTTTATAATAGATAGCTGCATAAATATTGAGGACCCAGGCTTGGTTCACAGTTCATATTTTCCACCAGCATGTTTACACCTTTCCTCTGTGTTTGCTCTCTGAGTTATGCCAAAATCCCAAGGATGGCAGCCATTCTCTTTCTGAACTAACTACTGTCATGTGGCTTCCTTACAGGTTCCAGCCCCCATCAAGACCATGACCATCTCCTCCAAAAGGGTGAGCACATGCCTCTCTCTTTGGGATAGACCTAGTAAAGTCTCCATGGAGGAAAGGGTCAGTTCGCTGACTTGTTACCAATAGCAACAACCTTGAGAAAAGGCCAAGGGCTATGGAGACACCCCATTTTAGCATTTCTGAGTGTCTCTTGAGAATCTTCTATTGCAGTGAGCTCATTCCATAGATCTTTGAGTGACTTGGTACAGAAATAAGAGTGAACGTGTCAAGGTGTGCTTTCCTGGATATCCACGACAACCTATTGTGCTTCCGTGTCCCTCTTTAGCATATTGGTGGGCCGGAGGGACCTGCACTCCCACCAACATCTGAGCATTTATTTTCCCCCAACAGCAACAACTCTATGTGTCCTCTGCCATTGGGCTAACACACCTGGCCCTTCACCGCTGTGATGTCTACGGAGAAGCCTGCGCGGATTGCTGCCTAGCCAGGGACCCCTATTGTGCCTGGGATGGCAAGTCTTGTTCCCGCTACTCTGCTTCTTCCAAGAGGTACTATATAACTCGGAAGGTGGCCAACCATAGTTGGGAAAGCTCTGAAATAGGACATGACAGGATCACAATGGACTCAAAAACTTTTGCCAAAAAGCTGGCTGGGTGGGTGTCTTTTCCCAAGATATCTGGAGGTGCCTTAGGTTTGACTTCAGGCTGCTCCTTTGATCAACAGCCCTTAAGCAGCCCCTGGGCAGCATGACTAGGGCCAGGCATATTTTAGATACTGGCACAGATTGAACAACCTAGAGGACCTCTCCTTGACAAAGCGCTGCTGGCTAGAACAATTACAGTTTGATGGATGGGCACAACAGTGCTACCAAAAACTAAAAGCCTATAGCCTCCCACTGGAAAAATTCTTCAGTCTAGGCCCCAAGGACCTTAGAAACTAGATTCTCAACTTTGATGCCAGCCAGGACAGGGCTGTTACTGTCAAATCCCATTTTTCCACCTGGTACCCCCCAACTTCAGTTGAATCATGCAAAAGCAAATTACTTTGAGTCACTGACTTTTCCTCAGATCCGCAGGGCATTCACAGAACTTAGATTTGGGCAGATGACCACAGCATATCTTGAAGGGAATCCCAGCGGAAATGTGTCTATGGCTGCAATCAAATTGAGGACCTAACTCATTACTCTGTCCTCTCTATGAAAACCCCAGAGAAAGATTTTTGTCCCCCATTATTCAGCTGTATTCCAACTGTACTTCAGTGGAAATAACAGTAAGACTACTTGCTGATACACAGCTGTACATTAAGTACTCTGTTGCCCAATTTGTTCTGGCAGCTAGGAAACTGGGGCTTCCATTTGTTAAAAAGGTAAAGGTAAAGGTTCCCCTTGACAATTTTTGTCCAGTCGTGCTCCTTCCCACCGAGGTGGTCCCTATTTATCTACTCGCATTTGCATGCTTTCGAACCGCTAGGTTGGCGGGAGCTGGGACAAGCGACAGGCGCTCACTCCGTCGCATGGATTCGATCTTACGACTGCTTGGTCTTCTGACCCTGCAGCACAGGCTTCTGCGGTTTAGCCCGCAGCGCCACCACGTCCCACCACGTTCCATTTGTTAAGGTTCATAATATTGCATAAATGTTGAATATAGTGACTTTGATATTATACGCTATGCCACCATTCCCAGGACGGGTTTATTGACCCCTGGGGCATCCTGTTGTTTTAATCATTTTTATGTAAGTCTGCCTTTGTAAAGGCCTATGGCCAGAAACAATAAAGGTACACTTTGCACATGGACTGGGGCCAGGCAGTTTTTCCAAGCTCTTATTCACAGGTAGGATAAGAAATATTTGAGCTGAGGGGGAGGAGGTCATAGCTTAAGAGGGAATTTTTTGAGCCCAATTTTTTCTCAAAATTCTTTCTGAAGTGCTGGGGCTATGTTTAGGCCCCTGGGGGCTCACTTGTAGCCTAGGGCCAGGCCTGAAAGTCAATGTGACAAAATGGGTATCCAAAGGATGGGTCCCTCCACTTGCTACTGCTGTTTGGAAAGATGATGATTCCTTCTGTTTACCTGGCTGCTTCTTTCTCTACTGCAGGCGGAGTAGACGTCAGGATGTCCGGCATGGCAACCCTATCCGTCAGTGCAGGGGTTACAATTCCAATGGTAAGTGCCACCCATCTATGCAACCCATGACCCAGTAGGCAGGAATAATATTTTCCCCAGTCAGAGTGCCCAGTGTCTCTACAAACAGGTACCTCTACTCTTCCCAGTCCATATGGTAGAATACAGCTGCCCCGATGACATATAAATCAGCTGGTCCTGTATCTGGGAATATAGCAGAGAACTGGGTGAATTCCGGGTGAATTGTTATAGCCAGCATTAACTCTCTTCTACATATAAAGTTCATGTGTGGTGAAACTACAGTTTCCAGGAATCTCTGCTTTATTTTTGTTGGAGTAGAATTGTGGAATCCAACACCCAACTTAATAAACATCGTTTCAAATGACATTACGAATGAACTGTTGGGGTGGCCAGGGAGGAGGGAAAATGACATTACGAATGAACTGTTGGGGTGTCTTTATGGCCAGGGAGGAGGGGGGGGGACGTTTCAGACTGTATTGAGATTCAGCAGTTCTTCTTTCCTGCCTGGTAATTGATCCCCACTTTATGATTAGCTAGGCACATGGCTGCTGTCCATTCCCTTTTTTCTTGCACCATAGAAATATTTGCACAAAATACAAACCAGGCTATCTGACACAACATTAAGCACAGAAATACAGTACATGTATTCAATAGAAATATTTGCACAAAATACAAACCAGTCTATCTGACACAACATTAAGCACAGGAATACAGTACATGTATTCAAAATACAAAAATAGGCACAGGTCATTTATTTGAAGAATTTCTTTTGCGTGGTGGGGAAGGTTGATTTTCTTGGCACTGTGTGTAGGCAATCATAGATAGAACAGGAAATGACCTCTATACTGAACAGTTGAGTGAAGGCACCCCAACAAAAGGAACTTGGCTCAAGAAAAGCGCTTTTGTGCCTTTTTCTTTCATTCCCCCCCCCCCCCCCCGGCTTCTGCTAACCTAAGTCTGGCTTCTGCAAAAACTCTGGAAGATTTTGTCAGCTACATTTTGAATGGCTGCGGATTTTGTCTTAAATACACCTCTCTGGGAGTAAGCCCCATGCAATGCAAGGTGCCTGCTTTAAGTAGACATTTACAGGCATACACTGCACATTATCTGATTTGTGTTCTGGTGGCCTTTGGTACATTTGTTATCCCAATTCAACCAAAAAATGGATGGTCGGAGCAAATGCTAAAAGATGCACCTGACCAGCAGGTTCATTAGTCTACTGTGGGTGATGGCTGTAGAAATAAACTCAGTTGTGGCAGTACTAGCCGCCTTCTGAGAATAGAGTAGGAACCACTTGGAACGCTTTTTCCTAGTGAATGTGTTAACTGTACCTCATCCCTTGACAGATTATAATCCATATGTTCTCTTCCCACCTCCAGCCAGCAGGAATACAGTCGAGGCTGTCCAGTATGGTGTGGAAGGGAGCACAGCCTTTCTGGAATGCCAGCCTCGCTCCCCTCAGGCTACCATCAAATGGCTGCTACAGAAGGACAACAGTGACCGGAGGAAAGAGGTGCGAACAGAGCATAGGCAGGCGAGGGAGTTCCAGGCCGGGATGTGGCAGGGGGGGGGCATGGGGAGAAGGGGAAGGAGGCCAGGGGAAAGTTGCCACCACAGTTAGTGACTTCAAGGGGGAGGGACGGTCCCTCTCCTGCTTTTATTGCAAATGACAATGAACAGCAGAACTTTGTTGAGGATTCTTCTTTTTCTTCTTGTCATTATTGTTAAAAAGCACAGGTTTCTCAGCCTGCTTTCAAGCATACCCCCCAAGATTTTGTCTGTTTTTTATTCACATGCTGTATATTGGGAGCAATGTCAGAGGCTGTGAAGGCTAGTTTTTACAGATCTAGGGAAATATCCCATCAAGCCCAGAGAAGCTCTCCAACCCATCTGAAATAAAGCTGGGGCAGAATCCCTTTTTCTTACTCTCTGCCAGCCCATGTGACTGGTTGCAACCCTACCCTATTCCCTGCCCTAATCCTGTCTGTAGTGCCATCCCAGTTCCAGAGCAGGAGGGTGGAAAACTAGGTCTTTCAGCATGATTTGCTCCTGGAGTAGAATGGAAGAAAATTAGGACTGATGTCCTAGGAGATAGTGAGAAGCAAAGGAGCCAAAATGTGTTCAGGCTGTAGATACGTAACTGTGTGCTGATGCGGTGGTTAGAATCATGGAATAATGGAAATGGCAGGGCCTATAAGGCCATCAAGTCCAACACCATGCTCAATGCAGAAATCCAAATCAAAGTAGATTGCTGAACTGTGGCATTCTGGATGTTTTGGAAATCGTCTCCTAGATTCTTTGACCATTGGCCATACTTCTGGGAGTTGGAATCCAAGACGTCTAGACTTCTAGAGGACCGAAGCTTGAAATCCGTTGCTCTAATTTATCCTGACCCAGCTGTTTCACCTTTGCTAACTCTGCTTCCTTGGTGTTTCTGACTCCTTTAGCTGCGCACAGAAGGACGGGTGCTGAGGACAGAGCAGGGGCTGCTGTTACGGTCCTTGCAGCTCTCAGATGGGGGTCTCTATTCCTGTACAGCCACAGAGAACAACTTCAAGCACACAGTGGCCAAAGTGCAACTGCACGTGCTGAGCAGTGAAACCGTCCACGCCGTGCTCTTCCAGTCAGAGGCCCCAGCCCCCTCCGCAGCCGCCATGCGAGCGGGCCTGCCAGGTGCCACCTTCAGCTCTCACTACCATGACCTGGTGCAGCTGCTCACCCAGCCTGAGATGGGACTCATCAACCAGTACTGCCAGGGATACTGGCGGCACGTGGCCTCCAATCACAAGGAGACTCTGGCTGGTCTGAAGGCGAAGGAGCTGCATGATCAGAAGAAGCCTCGAAACCGCCGGAATCACCAACCAGAGAAGGATCAACAGACATGAAACCAACCAACAAACAAAAGGGACAATGAAATGACACTGCTAT